TAGAAGTGTTAGCATAGAAGAACCAAACTTAAGAAATCTTAATAATATATAAATTCTATAAATGTCACAGAAGAAAAGTTTATTCCGCCTACAGGGGAGGCTGCAACACAAGTCAATAATTGACATACGAAGCTTGAAAAGGTTGTGTTCATTTTCGATATCCGAACGTTATTTTTGTCCTAAATGCGCAAGTGAATAGATGAAGTAATGAATAACCAGAAATTGTTTTTCAAGTTGAAGCACTTTAAGTTATCCTGCTTCACTGGTATCATGTGGTTGACGTCACAGGGATATGAAAAAAACTTCGCACAAACAAACGCTAAACGTTGATTGATATACAGGGTTTGGTTTTAAATTTCCACGTTTCGTCAGGTAAATATAGTCCATAAAGAATATAAATCTAATTGTCAGTTACTATAAGAATACAAAGAGTATTCTCATATTTAAAAGCCTCAAGCGAACGTGGTCTTTCACACTTTTTTATTAAAAAAATATACTTATATATTTTGGAGAATATTAACTAAATTTCAGCATTTAAATTGCTTTTCTATAGAACATAATATAAAACATAATACGTCTCCGTTGCACCGTAAAATACGTAAATTTCAGACGTCTTAGTTAATGCTGTTCACGTTAAACCTAAAAACATAATATGACCACCTTTTTTAATAGTGGTCTTATTTTAAAATCCAAAAAAGACTAGTTGCAAAGTCCAATGACTGTGCAACTTTATCCGGGTTATCTGGAACTCAAACTATTTTTGTACTATACCTTACGTCGGAAACTGTTAAAAATTTGCTTTTCATTTCTAATTTAAAAAACGGACATGTCACTTAATTCCACCTAATAAAATCATGGAACAAAACCACCAGGAAAAAGCAGAAAAAATTTGTTCCTAAAGCGGTATTTGTATGACAAGCATTGTAATTCGATCTGTTTTGTGAAAGTTCATTCATCTCGTTTTTTTATTAAATTTAATTTGTACACATTTTATGTGCACTGTAAGAAAAATACTAAAATAAAACCGAAGTTCCTGTATTTTGAAGTAAGTAACATGAGTGTTAGTTAAAGAAAGTTGAACAAAACTGTTTACCTAATATTTTTGGTTTTTAAAGGTTTGCAGATAATAACCTTCTTGTCAGTGTTTGTACCAGGAATGGTTGGAAACTAACCCTTACATTCAAAACATTAAAAAAATAAAGTAAAAACGAATAATGAATGACGATTGTGTAAAATATTTAGAAATTTTTGAAAATACAAAAGCAGCTTTACTGTTTCATGTTTTTTTTGACGAGTATTGTATGGATCGGACCTGTAAAATTCCTGTGTTATTATTAGTCTTGACTAATTCTCTGAGTTCTGAATTCTGAGTTCATAATTTCGAGTTGTTTCATAATTCATGAAACAGAAAATTTAGGTTTGCGTCTGTTGTCTGCTGACTTGCGATTTATTAACCCACTCTTATTGTTTACTTTAATCTTGTAAATTTTTGGAAAAAAAAAATCCTGCAGCAAAATTTTACAAATTATCCTAGAAACTACAAAACCACTTGCTTAAAAGACTCATATATTCAGCACTCGTTGAAAATATATTTTTTTTTAATTCAAGAATTTTGCCGCTTGTAAGAAAATATGCTTCTACGTGCAGTTTTATTTTACAATAAAAATTTAAGTAAGTCACAAAAAATGTTGAAAGTGACCTTCAACTTGCGATGTCTGAATAGGGAAGGGAAGTTCCGTCAATTTTTGCTGCTGAAACACCTTTCACTTTTTGTTGCCAATTTAAAAATATTTTTCTTTGCGAGAAAATAAAAGCCATGAAGCCTTACTACATACGTGTGTTTGCCACGTTTTGCTTTACAATAATGATTTCCTACAATTTATTGTAACTTAATTTATTCGTAATTCTAGTTAAAGCAAAAATATTAAGTCGTGATGTATGCACACGACTTAAACATTTTCCAGCGTATCTCATGCGTAAGTGGTTGTGTTGAACTCCGGAAGGACATTGACACATCTCTGGAGTAAATCTTAAACTTCCTGTAAACTAATGTGACAAATGCTGCGTTATGTCATTGACAAATAAGAATTATACGTTATCTTATGACTACAGAACGGATTCCAGCGTAACCCCTGAAACCGCCAACGTAATGGTGCGCCTGAACCTCCCGGCGGAGCGATTAATCTTCAAATGGCGTATGGTACAACCCGAATTTTAAACTCAGTTGTACAAAGGACAGTTTAAACAAAACAACAATTATTTATTGTTACAGCAGATAGCGTTAACTGAACTAGTTAAACTGCAATCGAACTACTTGAAGGTTACCCGCTCTCTGCTTATGAGCCTTATGACTATACTACTAATGTATCTGTGTTATTAAGGGTTTGTTCATTTAAAGACTTTATTATCTTCGCTGGCACCTTTTCCTATCACATTGGAAATATAATCACAGAAGCTTTCAAACAAAATCGTGCCTCTATAATTAGATATATACAACAGTTGTTTTAATAACATTAACATTGTAGGTAGTTTATTCTGTGCTACTCTTAGATTTAAATTAGAATATCCAAACATCGCGTGGGCTCCGTCATCTCAAATTCATGTTGATGCTCTTGAAATTCCGAGACGTTTTCTGAAATTTTTCACATACAAGGTTGTTCAGGTGTTTATCTTGTTAAAGAAACTACCTATCGAATCATCTTACTAATAATCTGATGACGTCACTTCAAAGTTGTACACAGTAAATGTGCTTTAAATTTTATAAAGTAGCATACTCTTAGGTGTGGTTTATGAATCGGTTTTGATTTTTTGCCCGAAACACACGGAAAAAAATCAAAAATGTATGACAAATTTTGAAATTTTATTTTGAAGCCGAATGCTCTAAAATTTTGCAAACGTTTTAAGGTTGTCATAAGCATGGTAAATCGTTAATCAAAATTTCTCCGTTTACCACCTCCCAAAAAATGAACCATTTTTTTTTTAATACCTGAATGTACTCGCTGCGCTCGCTTTCTAAAAAGTTCTTTCTTTACAATTTAGTTTCAGAAATATTCAAGAAAGTGTTTTAGTGAAATTGTTTGGGATCATTTATAATAATAATTTTGTAATTTTCGGAAACTCACCCTTAGAATACGAGCGCAGTGAGCACATTCAAGTCTTCTGATCATTAGCAATCACAATTGTTTTCGAGATACACTTTTTTGTAGGCGATAAATAAATTTTTTGCTATAATTTAGCTTCTCAGGGACAATAATGAAATTATTTTTAACAACGCCTACACATGCTCGCTGCGCTCGCATTCTAAGCGATTTCTTTTTGCATTTTAGTCTGATGAAAAATAAATATAAATGATATATTACTAAAATGATATTAAACCCGACTTAAAGAAATGAATACGGCTCCTAATGCAATGGAAGAAGTGTCAGTTTTTGAAATGAAAGTGTTATTTTGTGCCAAATTTGGATATTGTAAAATTGATGACTTTACTAAAGCATTTTACAATGTTTCAATCAATCAATCAATCAATTTTTTTAGGGGATAAGCAAATATTTTTTAATTAAAAATGTATCATGCTTATCATAACTTTAAAACATCTGCAAGATTTCAAAGCATTCGAACATTTTGCACATTCGAAATTAAATTGCAAAATGTTGTTTTATAATTTTGATTTTTTTTTCCAAAAATCGAAATATTTCTGGTCAAAACTCAATACGAATCATAAACTACTTGTGCGTAGGACTATGTTATTTCACGTCATGTAAAACCCATTTACCATATACAATTTTGAACTGAAGTCATCACATTATTGGTGGGGATGATTAGACAAATTTTGGTTATCGTTTTACCATCTACATGACATTCCTAATATAAATACAAATTGGTATGGTCGGAAAATGTAATAAACCAAGTTCCCTGTAGACACTGGGAAAATTATATTAAGAACACGGAAAAAATCATCCATTCGGCATAGCAAACGGAAAAGATTTTGGACAATTGTGAAATAAATCAAGTCATTATTAATGTTAATTACGTTTCAGATGATAGTGATAGTGAAGATGATGACATTAGTGTTGATGATTTTTAGAGTTGTGTTAAAAATTAAGAACTTCTGCAATTTGCATTGATATACTATAGCAAGTTATCCGTAACATACGGGAAAACACATACGTTTGGTCACTAAAAAAACGTCACAGTCTTTGAACAGGGATATTTCCACGACTTTAGATCGGTGGTGGGTCTAGAAATAACAACAGTAATAGTAATGATAACTTTGAATACTGTTCCAACAAATAAATATTTTATATTCACCGAACCTAAAAAATTTATAATATAATTTAAATAACATTAAATGCAGCGTGCTTGCTAGGAAAATTCTGTTTAATATTCTTTTTTTTTTGTGTTAAATTAACCACTACAAATTTTACCGCCTAAAAACCGTATCTTTCCTGTATTTAATAAGATCTTTCAAGGACTGTTGACTAAAGTATGTAGGTGCTTCGAAAGTCTATCAAACACGTCTTTAAGTTTGTGTTACTGAAAAAATGTAAATGTACCCTAAATCCTTGAATCCTGCGGTGCAACTCACACACATAAATTGCATGCATGCAGAAATGCCGTCGTTGCAACTTTTCGGATCGAGCGTGAATTTCATCTAGTAGTAATTTTTCGAGATCGTTTGTTGAAAGCCAAGGCGCGAACTTTCCGCTTTGATGTACAATAACCATGACTCACTCCGTACATTATCGCTCTTCCTCACCGCTAACTCGTAAAGCACGACCAGCGAGTGCGCTTTCCCGGCCGAGATCGACTCCTCGTCCTCGCACCTGGTGCTCCCTTCCGCCGGCCCGCAGGCTCCGACGCCGCCGCCTCGACGCCGCCGCCCGCCACCTCCGCCATCTCCTCCATTTGCATTCTTATCGTGATTTGGGCCCTCTCTCGCCTCCTCCTCTGCGGTCGTCGACCCCTAGCCGGTAGCAAGTCCACCTCTCCTCTTGGTTACCTGGCTCGGAACCCAGCAGCGATTAGTACGGGATTATACAACCTCGAGTGCCGATGGATCACGTGGCGATGCGTCGCGACGCGTGCGCGCCCCCAACCACCTGTCGCCGGGGATGTGAGTGAGCATGGATGTGTTTAAGATTGAACAGACCATCGGGGGCGGCGTCCCCGCCCCCGACAAGATAGCGCCGGAGGTGTCGTTCGACGCCGGATCAGAGTTCAACCTGAGTTTCTTCGACACGGACAGCAATCAGCAGGGCTTCAGCGATCCGGGCTCGGTGGGATCGACGTCGGCGAGCTCGCCGCCCCCACCGACGCCCGTGCCGGGCACGAGCGGCCCAGGGATGCTGTCGCCGCCGCCGACCGCCATCAAGCAAGGTACTGGGGACGGGACGACCATGAATGACAACGGTCAATGTCAAGTTTCATTGCGGTTTGAAAGGAGCTTTATCTCGGGATGTTTATCTGTGTTGTCAATGGTTAATTTGATGCTACTGGGAAGAAGGGAGCAAGCTGTTAAAGTGATAATGGCCATTCTGTTGATTGCTAAGCACCTGATGGTGCACTTTTTTTTTATTATGACTTGTACACATTTATTTTAAATTGGTGACTTGAGGACAGTAAAGTCCAAAACGACCTCTTCACAGTTTCAAAATAGGATATATAATTTAGACTTCCATCTGATAGAAATTGTTTAAAAAGTAATACCAACTTCATAAAAAAATATCGGTAAACTTTAAACACATTTCTCTAAATCATTTAAAATACAAAAACGTTTTTTTACGAGAAAGACAAGACGCTTATAACTCGAAAACCATGAAAATTCCCATTTAGAAAGATAAAAGTAGGGTTTAATCTCATTTCATAAAATCAACATTAAAAATCAAATTCAATAAAAAAGCAATATATCTGCACAGTTTTTTCACTTTAGAGGTCTTATAATTTTCAAAAATACCGCGTTAAAATTTTGTTTCTGACAGGACGAAAATTCTATCAAAGACAAATCTTCAAAAATGCATGGCTGTCTTTCATCGTGTTTTTATTGCTTTCTCGATATTGTTACTCTTTATGAAAAATAATCTTGTTGTATATCTTCACTTTACGCGAAAAATTAGTTTTCACATTCAACCCACTAAAGTTCTAAAATCTTGTAATACATCTTATAGCCCATAAAAATTATTTTGTAAAAGAAATCTAACTTTGAAATTTCATTTTAAGTCTTAGTATGTATCAAACAACAAAAATTTTCGTCTCCAAATCCTTGGTAACTTGCAGTTACCAAGGATTTAGAGTTGTCGGGGTAAGGTCGCATAATCTTATATGCATGTCTATGCATACAGACCGTTTCATCTCAGTCGATCGATTAAATTAATTCAAAACTACTATTTGTGTAGGACAGGAAAATTATAGACATACTCGTAGCACTTCCGTACTTTAATTTTAATTTATAGAGGTTACCCTAATAAACATACATTGCAGATTAATTTTGTAGAGTACCTGTCTAAGAATCTGGACTGGTTTAATTGAGTGTGCTTCCGAGGCGTGAAAAGTTCTGTCTAAATAACTTTAAACTACTTTATAAAAGAAAAAATTGTCTAGAATTCAATGGCGCTTAGCTTTTTTTCTGAACCTGAATTTGTTTTTTCGAAAAATACAAAAAATTTGTTATCATTTCTCAAACAATCATGACAAATGTGAAAAATGTATTAATTAACAGGGGCGAAAATTGTTTGATTAAATGGTACCGGAGCGAACTTAGCACAGGTTCAAGCTATTTTCATTACTAACATTTTTATTAAAGTAGATATTTGTAAAATTTAAAAGTAATATAAACTAGAGTGACAAAGTAAGTAAATTTCCACTTGCTTATTAAATTATTACTAACACACTTTGCCGATGTGTTAACTACTTCACTGGAAAAGTGCTGCTACCTCTATGTCAGAAAACAGTCTTTCAGATTTCGGATGTACTCAATTAGCGTCGCAGTAAATAGATAATAATAAGTTTATTCACCTCTGATGCCACGTATACATGAATAACTTAAACAAAAAACATACAGGTCGTGTATTTTGATCATTTGACTAATTCAACACATGATAATTAATTGTAAGCAAATTCTGCAATTGTGATTTATATTCTCAAAATAGCACAGTGCAGTACTGATCAGAGTTTCAATGCTAGTAAAAAGTTGTATGTATATGCATGTGATAAAACTAACTTTAGTGATATGCTGAGTTAGTTAGATGATGTCAAAAATTGCAGAAAAAAGTCAAAAAAGCATTCGAGAGTTTTTCCTTTTATTGCATTAATAACTAATAGAGAAGAACGCGATATAATAAAAGTTTTGTGATGGTTATTATTTTCAATGGAACTCAGTTCCAGATAATTGTGATGTTGTGGTACCGTGTTAAGCGTGGAATGAAATTCAATAGAAGCTGTGATAACAAAAGTGTGAATAATAAACAAAGACCACTAACAAGTACACGTATTTTCGATTACAAGTACTTCTAGATTTACTTTGTATGTACGTACATGCAACTGGTTTAGTTTATCGGTTAATCGGACTGATTCATGCTAATAACATTATAGTGTTAGCAAAGATAAATGATATTAATTGCTTTATAAATGTTACATCAGTACCCTTTCATTTTCATAATTACTATTGTAGAAACCTAACACAGAAATAGAACGTCGTAGCTAACTTCACGCATTTTTGCTGTAATGATAAGTCAAGTAAGATTATCATAATCTGTCGGTGCAACATAGTTGCATTTCAATTGTCTAACAATTTTTAGTCTTAAATTTACATTGAAGCTTATACAGCCTGTTATTGAAAGGTACGTACAAAATAAAATCGGCAATTGGTCTCGAAGTATGGGTGCTAAAAGTTAAAAAAAGTTCAGGTAAAAGTGTTCTCCTTTTAGAGATAAAAATTATTAAAATTTATGTCCAAATTTGTTGTACGCCTCTGATAAAAAGATCATCTTTCGTTTCTATAGCAACATTTAGTCTTGACAAAAGTTTTATTGTTACAGTTGCTAGGATTTACTAAAATAGATTAATTTTACCTATTTATCCTTCAGTAGCGTCTAAAAAGATTGGATAAGGGTTAATTTTCCCCTTAAAATTTTGATAAGACAACGTAAGTTTTTCCGACTTCTTAGACTTCGCGAAGAACTGTCCATTTTGTTGTACGTACCTTACAATAACACCCTGTATAGGGTGTCTTTTTTATTAGATATGAACCCTGTAATTGTTTATTTTAAAGATAAACCTGTAGTTGAAATACATATGTGGCTCATAGTAACCACACCCTTCCGATAGAACCGGAAATGACACAATTTCATTTTTTTAAATCGAACACTCGGTATATTGTTTTATAAATGGAAAGCTTGCTTTTTACTATAGAAAATCTATTTAATTCAAACCTAATTGCTTGAAAAAAGTGTTTTGTTAGCTTTTGTTGAAAATAGTGGATATTTTTTAACAGAAATATTTCAAGACCATTTGATGGGGAATAGAGGTCTCCAAAATCGCCTGATTTGAACCCCATTGATTATTTCCTTTAATGAATGGAGAGACAAAGATTTCTTGAAACAACGCGTCAGACAAATTTGGAAAACATTAAACCCACAGTTTATGGTGAATCCCACACAGGCGTGCGGAAATGTTTATCGAACAAAATGAAATCATTTTTGGAAATTTGTTGTACTCTTATTATTGTATTCAAATTTAATTCTTAGCCTGTCCTCTAAGTTTGAGCGTTTAAAAAAACACATTAGGAATATTCAAAAATTAAATTCTCGTTTTGAAATAGCTTGTATTTTATTCCTATTCATAAAAAAATGTTGTCGATTGAATAACTTACATACCTATTATTAATTTTAGAATATCAACTGATTTTGATTGTATGTGGTAAAAATTGCAAAATATCCATTTATTAAAAAATATACTAGTGTTCCATTTATAAATAAAAAGTTGATGTCATTTCCGGTGTTATCGGAAGGGAGAATTAAAGAATGTGTTTACTATCAAATAGATCTTCTAGTACGACACAAATTTGTCCAAAGAACATAGGACCTATATTCAAAAATAAAAAAGTTACAGGGGTTATATCAAATAAAAACGACACCTGTATTACTGTGCAATAAAAAAAAAAGATTCAAGTTGACTGCACTTTAACAGTTCAGGTGGTGCTCTTACTCTGTCAAATGTCACAATAAAAAACACGTCAGTCAGCCATGGTAGCCAATCAAAAGAAAAAACCATGGCCTACTAAAGTCTAAAAGGTCGTGAAATAACATAACGCTTTCCTAGCCATGAAATGAAAGTAAAGTTGTAATAGTAAAGGCGGTGCATTTATTTTAATCAAATTTAGAGATGATAAAAGCAGTTGATAAAGACAGACAAGTTTTAATAACTCCTCATAAATTGGTTGTACATGCACTTGTAAGTACAACGCAACTGGCCATCAAGTACTTAGTTCTCAATCAAGTTCACTGTTCATGCTGACGAGCTTGATGGTGTAACATTTATCAGTGTTGTCTATCAAATACACACTCTTTTAGTGGAAATATTTGCAAAAAATCTAGTAAATTATTCAAACCTATTATGTTGTCAAAGATATCTGATGCACTTCACATGATTTGATCGGATTTGACCGGTTTGACAAATAAGTAAGTACTTAGCTTATATCACATTTTAATATGTACATGAAATTGTGTGCATGTTTACGTAAAGCACAAATTAGGTTTATTTCAGGACACGAATTTTTAATGTATATTTCATTTTGACTATTTGTTTGATGTATGTAATCACAGTGAATTTTCCTTTACAACGAAGTGCTTTATGATTATTGTCAGAAACGACTACAATAATTCATTTTACGAACATTACTCACACACTTTACATGGAATACGAACTGTAATAAAAAACGGTAATAATGGCCTATAAATAATTTTTAATTTCCTTTAATCAGCCGACTGAATCACGACACTGTTTTTAATAACAGCTTACCTCGTCTACAACAAATACAACTAACAAATTTAATAAATAATCCCTGCATCCCGAAGAAGCCGACTTCAACCTGCAAAGTGTGTCGGAAGCCCGAGTTGACCATGAGTGACAACGTTCAATGTCAAGTTTGATTTCGTTTATTTATAAAGCTGCTTTCGAATGTTGAAGCTTTGACCGTGCATGGGGTCACCGAGTATGAATATATTTTCTCTTTCTTGTGAATTCTCAATTGGGTGCATCAATATTAAATTAGGATGGCGTTGACATACCTGTCCAGACTTACTTCACGTGTCTCGTATAACATTAAAATTAATTATTTTCTTCTTGCATAATTTGCTACGCTACGCGTAAATAAAAAAACG